TGCCTGTGTCTCATTTGCATTTAAAGAGACAGGCACTCCAAAGCGAGCGCTCTGAACGGGGCTGTTTTGGGTTAGGGTTAGGGTTAGGGTTAGGGTTAGGGTTAGGCAGGGGGACTGAACTGCTATTGGGCTTCATCCTTATGGGATTCTGACCAAAGCTTGTCACAGACATTACATTAGGACACCAGGGAACTAGCTTAACTTGTTGAAATAGGGTATAATATGTCTCCTTTAAATAAAAAAAATAAAAATAAGAAGATTCACTTTCACTGTTTCAGGCAAGCATGGAAGAAAGTTAAAAGTTAAAGCCATTAATCCGGTGGAGTTAGGGCTGGTGTATAGTCTGAAGCTCATAATAAAGCACAGACTGTTCTGGTCATAGAGCAAAAACACCTGGGAAAACACATCCCTAAAATAGAGTGTAGAGAGGATGCTCAAGATATGGATGAAATACATTCTGCCTACACTCCTGGAAAGAAACAAGCTGGCCGAAGACAAAAAGCTAACGTTAAAGATATGGATGAAATATATTCTGGCTACAGGCCTGGATGGAAACAGCCGGGTGTAAGACAAAAAAAACAGATATTTGATGACCAGATATGAGGGCAGAAACACCCAGAATTAGGCAGAGTTTTTTTTTATTCAAAGGGTCCTTTATTTCCTTGTTTATCACTTTAATCCCTTCTAAATGGAGTCCCTGCTGTGTTGGGAATTGGCTTCGTGTTGACAGACAGACTCACCAGGATGGGAACTGTGTCTAAACATTTCCTGAAGTTTTTAGTTGTATGAATGATTTATGTGTGTCCAGTTCCCGGGACGTTTCCAGTCATGCTGAGCTCATTTAGCTGTGTGTGTCCTGTTTTTAGGGAGGTGTCATCCTCTTTTTCACCTCGACTGCCCTGGCTGAATCCTCTAAAGTGCATTTAAGGTAAACTTTCAAATGGTTAAAATGAAATAAACTTGGTTTATTTTCAGTAGAAAACAAGATCCTGAGAAAATGCAAACAAACAGCCATTTGCCTTGCTAAAAATCTGATTTTTACTAGGAAAAATAGAAATGGAAAAGGAACAATTTGTTGTATACATCTGAAATGTATCAATGTTTCACAGCAATTGAATCATGCAATAAATCAGAGCAAGAAATAAGAGCCTTTCACAAGTCTCTATAACTGTTTTATGAATTCCTAATTCCTAATTATAGATAGATGTAATGTAATTTGTATTGTAATCTTTTGCCGCTGTCTTGGCCAGGACTCCCTTGAAAAAGAGATTGTTAATCTCAGTGGGACTTTTCCTGGTTAAATAAAGGTTAATAATATAAAATCCTCGTTTTTTAATTAGTTTCTGTTAATTTTTCTTGATATCTATATGGATGTCAGGTCAATTCATGAGAAATTCTTGAGGCAGTTCTTAAAAGAATTTAAAGTCTGGATGCCCACATGTACTTTGAAGTAATTCATCCACAAAATTGGGCTGTCAAAGACCTCCCGAAGAAAATTCTGGTGGTATACAAGCAGCTTTTTTAAAGAAATGTAGTGTTTTGAGGATGTCATACCATACTGGTGAGTGATGGTCAGGTGTGCCGTAGAAAATCATCCTATTTCACCTAATTGGTCTAAAAAGACTTTTTGATAAGGAATTAATTATCTGCAAATAATATGCCATTTCTGAGTGTCTGTGCTGTTCTAGTGACTGGTGGAGTAATCATGTAATAATTCCTTATGACTAGATTTTGTATATAATTTTGTATATTGAAGTGGGCATGTTAAGAGCAATTTGAAAGAAGAAATATAAAATATGATAAAAATACATTTTTGTGTTTATTTGATTCCTATTCATGACACTTAAGGTAAGATAAGAATAAAATAAGAATAACTATAGTGGTACTATAGGCGGGTACAGATTTGTTTAACATTTTTGGTTGGTGGTGTGCCTCGGGATTTTTTCTATGAAAAAATGTACCTTGGCTCAAAAAAGGTTGAAAAACACTGCCTTACCAGATCAGGTAATCAAAACTGAGTATGTCCATGTTTATTCAGGATTAGTTACCCCTGTTAGTAACTTAGCTGGTTCTAAAAACCTCTAAAAACCAACTGACTGCTATACTGCTCTCAAACAGACCTAATTACCTAATTACTCCTCTTCTGACTTCTTCCTTGGACTTTTAATTTAATCTCTTATAATGAAAGAACCTCTGGGCTGGATCACTAGATTCACTCCACCGCCCCTTGCTATCAATAAATAGATTAATTTAATTCACCGTGTGTCTCA